CAGTCGCTATGACGGACACTGACCACCAGGGGGCAGATGCTCCAACCAGTAGGTTAGCTTGCTGCTGGGGTCTGGCCGATGGGGACTGGGCGAGACGGGCTGGACATGCCCTGGAGCCCTCCTGGGGTCCCTCCCCGGCCTTTAAAATATTTCTTCTAATTAATGTCCTTTCAATGTGCACGAATCCGTGCGCGAGTAGCTCGCTGCCGCTTGCCTCAGCTGGCCACCCCGCCCACCACTGCTGGTAGCTCTCCACCGCTCCTAGCTCGCTGCCACACCCTCCTGTAGCTCTCTGCCCGCTGCCCCGCCCTCCTGTAGCTCTCTGCTGCTTGTAGATTGGTCATGACATTGCAGTGTCCAGGCTAATTTGCATATTCCTCTATTATTATGTTAGATTTTAAAAGATGCCCATGTTTAGCTAAACTTGGATGTCCACTAGACAGTTGACTATGACATTCTAGAGCTTGGAATAATTTATACTAACTAGCACCTACTGGTTAACAACAACAGTCAAAATAGCCAATATTTATTGGCTACCTGCCATGTGTCAGGCACTTGTAAAAGTGCTTTTCATGTATTAAATTAACTCTCCCAATGACCCAGTGAGGTTAGTACTATTGTTATGCCCATTCTATAGGTGAGTGTTTTACTTACATTACCCAAATCCAACTTTCCCAACAACTCTATGAGGTTGGTGATGATCATTATCTCTGCTTTACAGATAAAGAATGAGAAGCTCGAGGATGTTAAGTAATGTACCCAAAGTCACACAGTAAGTATCAGAGAAAGGATCTGAAGACAGATCTCTCTAACCTCAATGTCTGTTGCAACTAAAGCCACAGGAGAGGTAATGTTGCCTAAGAAAACATTCTGGCAAGCCCAGCTGACATGGCTTAGTGGTTGAGCATTGGCCTATGAACCAGGAGGTCAGGGTTCAATTCCTGGTCAGGACACATGCCCAGGTTGTCGGCTCGATTCCCAGTGTGGGGCATGCAGGAGGCGGCCCAATCAATGATTCTCTCTCATCATTGATGTTTCTATCTCTCTCTCCCTCTCCCTTCCTCTCTAAAATCAATAAAAATATTTAAAAAACATTCTGGGAAGAGAAGGAGGCCAAGGCAGAACCTTGGAGAATAATTAATGCATAGGCAGGGGAGGAAGAGTCCAAAAAGAATAAGGAAGGGGAGGAATATGGAGATACCGCAAAAACAAAACAAACAAAAACCCTCACGGGAGTTCTGAGTTCCGAACTGAAAGATTAAGAGACGCACCAAGAAACAATCCAGGGATGTAGCAATGAGAAGGGGGCTGGAGAGGCAGAACTGGAAAGCAGATTTTGGTGGGTTTGAATGGAGAAGGTAAATAAGGGCTGGCTCTTAAAGGAAGGATGTGAGAGGAATGACTACAGGGAGATAGAGGATCGAGAAGTGATTTTTCTGTCCCTTCTGAAAATGAGAGTGATATAAGCACATTTGTATCCCAAGGGAAAAGAGCCAGATGACAGAAGGTTGAAGACACAGAAGAAAGACAGGGTATTTCTTTTTTTAAATATGTTTTTATTGATTTCAGAGAGGAAGGAAGAGGGAGAGAGAGATAGAAACATCAATGATGAGAGAGAATCATTGATCAGCTGCCTCCTGCAAGCCCCCCTATTGGGGATCAATCCCGCAACCTTGGCATGTGCCCTTGACTGGAATCGAACCTGGGACCTTTCAGTTCGCAGGCCGACTGGCTATGGCAAGACAGGGTATTTCATAAGCAAGGTCCTTGAAGAAGCTGTAGCTCTGGGTAGGGAATGAACTTCTTTCCTTCATATAGGAAGAAAGAACGCCAAGTGGTTAACACGATGAATTTTGTATATCCTATATAATAAAGAGGTAATAATGCAAATTGACCCTCATGCCCTCACATCACAAGATGGCCGCCCCCACGATGTCACAAGATGGCCACCCCATGTCATCACAAGATGGCTGCCCCCCACGTCATCACAAGATGACTGCCTCCACATCATCACAAGATGGTCACCACAAGATGGTTATCCCCATGTCGTCACAAGATGGCCACCCCTATTGTCACAAGATGGCTGGCAGGGGAGGGCAGTTGGGGGTGACTAGGCCTGAAGGGGAGGGCAGTTGGGGGTGATCGGGCCAGCAGGGGAACAGTTAGGTGTCAATCATGCTGGCAGGGGAGCGTTTAGGGGGCTATCAGGCTGGCAAGCAGAGTGGTTGGGGCAATCAGGCATCCAGGCAGGCGAGTGGTTAGGAGCCAGCAGTCCTGGATTGAGAGAGGGTGCAGGCTGGGCTGAGAGACACCCCCCCACCCAGTGCACGAATTTCGTGCACCAGACCTCTAGTAGAGTTAATAAGTAGATGGAGTTGTTGCCCTATAGCTTTTATCACCTCTATCATCTGCTTGGCAGAGGAGAGGACATAATTTTTGTTATTGTCTTTTACAAAAGCACTGGCCTGCACCATATTGGGGGAAAATTAACTGTTCCTATACAATGATTAGGTTGAGAAGCATTATACTAGACCATATGACTAGAACAAACCAGAAAAGAGAAAGTCAAGGTAGACTAAGAACTATGAGCTTTGGATAGTTTGCCTGTAAGGAAAGAACGTTTTGCTTGACTCGATATTGGAACTCAGGATAAAAAGATAACAATGACATGAGCGAGCCAGAAAAACAGACAGATGTCAGCAAGGAGGAAAGCTGACAGTGATTACTCATCTTGATCAAATAGTAAAAATTTGCTACAAAGAACAGAAAATTGGTCCCATTCCTAGTGAGTAGATTTAACTAGAGAGAACACACCACTCAGCCACAAATGCGGCCCTACACAAAAGGGATCGATCCCTGGCTGAGTTCATCAAACAGAGCACAGAAATCCCTCCCCAACTGCAAGTCTCCATCATGCAAATTCAAGCACACATACCTTTTCAGCGACTGTGCGCATTTCAGTTCCAGTATATGTAAATTTGGAGTCATTCCTTTTGGGGATAAATTAGAAAAAAGGGAACAATAAAACCTTAGCAGAGACAAAGGAAGAAGGAAAGTAAACTGAAGCTAAAGCTGTGAGAAGCAGTCTGACACACATGCATATGTGGCTGAGTGTATAAAGTTTTCATGGGCAAAGCTAAACTCCTAGTATCCTTGGTATTAAAGAAGTGGGCATGAGAGTACACATTCTGCTATGCTTCTAGGTTTAAATTAAAACTTCGAAGCATCCAAGCTACTGGAGGTCTCTGAGATCACTGTAGGACTCAGCAGCAGGAGGTGGAAAGCCATGGAGATGGAAGAGTGAGTTTGGATGAAGGAATGGGTCAATAGGGGGAAATGTCTCTTAATATGCACATTATCTGCCACAAAGAAAATGACCAGTATCTCACTGTCATTTTAGGGGAGACAGAAGATAAAAACATATCAAGCAAGGAAATGGAGAATAACAGCACCATATCAGTCAACAAAATTCTATCTGTAAGAGCATTCACACGTTCACTCATGATCTTGTTTCCCTAAACCACATTTTTCACATAAGGTCACAGATATATCAACTGAAAATCCTCCTACTAGGAAGTTAGGTGGAAACCAATCTTCAGGACTGGGAAGCTATTGAAAGTGTATCATTGAGGGAGCTCCAGACTGATCATGGTAATTTAAAATACAATCCCTAACCAATATTGCCAAGCTTGTCATAACTCTGAGTTAATAATGGCATATAGACCAAAAGATTCGAGTAAACAAACATTGTCTTACCTGGTGTCATCATTCAACTAGAGTGAGAAAGAGGAGAAAACATTATTGATCACATTACGCTTATTTGATGTACATGACACAGATTATACGAAAAATAGGGCATGCGAGCATGAAAAACTGGAGAATTTTTACTTCGGATCGTAAGCAACTAAGCTCTATTTCCTCATCCTCTTTCGCTCCTCTGCAATACTTTAACGCTGCAGAAACTTTTGTGTCTTTGAAACCCTCTCCTCTCTTAGGTTCTTCGATACAATTAAAATGCATCCTACAGGAAAGATTGCAGCTGCCCTAACAGTGGTCAGTAGCGTCTTAATACACTGATGTCCTATTGTGCTATATTGTCTTTCTGGCCTGACTTTCAGGTTTGGTCAATGGGGTGATAACTTCCAGATTTACAGAAGAGGCCAGAGATTAGTAGAGAAAAAAGCTCTCCCCCACCCCTAGCTTAGCCGGAACGCTGGGAGTGCTGGGAGGTTAACCAAGCTTCAAGCAACCCGAGGATACCGAAACTCCGCGACAGGACCATCCAAAGGATCTGTCCCAGGATCAAAGCCAGGGTGCCTGTGGCCTCCGCAGCCCTGGGCGCTGCTAACACCGACCCGAAGGACACACTGGGCTGCTCATCAAGGTCCCGGCCAGGCTAACTCACTGACCTACTCACCTCCCCTATGCACAGTCCCATCACCTCCTCCTTCTCTGTGCTCAGAGCGTGGTTGAGACAAACTAGGAAAGCATCCGACTCCAGATGAACCGCCTGCACCGCTTGCACCACCTGCATCGCCATCTTGGTCCGACCCTGCTCACGTCCGCCTAGGGCCCACTTAGGCCTGACCAACCCTGAGCTCCAGCAAGC